CCCCCCCCCCCCTTTTGTAAGCTGTCATGATGTTTCTCTCCTCTTCGGAGTGGATTGGTCAGAGGATGGGCCCCTTCAGACTGGCAATTTCGGCTGTTATTCAGACATTGATGGTCGTGTCACGTGTGATAGCTGACTAAAACTCGGTGCAACTAGTCAACCTCCTTCATTAGTCTTTTTATATATATATATATATACACACACAAAATATTAGTACAATAAACTCTTTAGATATATACAATATCTTTAAAAGCTATACTCAGGATTGGGGTGCCAATGTAGCCGAATTTCATCAGAGTTGTACAATTTGGTTATGTACTCCTCCACAGAGTCAATATTGAGGTCAGCGCGAATATCTGCGCTCCTCTGGTACCAGTGAGCTTTAACAATACCTCTTAAGATTTTCATTTGAACTACTTTGATATTAGCTAGATTTGACATGGCTGCACAACCCCACAATTGGCAACCATAACTCCAAATGAGCCTCTACATTGACTTGTAGAGGAGCAATTTGATTTGCAAGGATAACTTAGATATTCGGCCTATTAGCCGTTGCATATCGCTGAATTTAAGCCGCAATTGTGCAACTTTTTTCTTTATATGCGCCCCCCACTTGAGCCTGGAGTCCAGGTGGAGGCCGAGATAGCAGGCAACAGTGACACGAGGGATTTCGTTTTTTCCGAAGAGAAGAGGAATGTGTGTATAGGGTCTATTAGTAAAGACTATCTCTACCGATTTTGCTGCGTTTAATTTTGTTTTGTCTTTGCTTGTCCAGTGGTGTATTTTATCAAAGTGAGATTGTACATTGTGCCATGCCTCCCTGTAACTCTTGGACGCTGCTAGAATGAGCGTATCATTGGCGTAAACTCCCAGTTTCCCCCCTCTCCCAGACTGCGGGATGTCTGTGGTGAAAAGGGAATAGAGGAGGGGGAAAGGCAGGAACCCTGTAGAATCCCCGCCCTTATCGGTCTGAACCCCGAGGTGGTATTTTTGTACCAAACTCGAAATTGTCTGCCTGTAAGTAAGGAAGACAGGAGCTCCACATGGTTGCATGGGAGCATTTCATAAAGCTTTTCGATGAGACGCTCGTGCAATCAAATGCCTGCGCTACGTCCAGAAAAACTGTCACACAATATTCTCCCCTCTCGAGAGAATCTTCTGTGAATATAGTAATGCAGTGAAGTTGATCTATCGTTGAATGCTTTGCTGGAAAGCGGAATTGAGCATCAATAATCAGATTTTGTTTAGAAACTATTTCATTCAACCTTTTAATATAAAGCTTTTCAAACAGTTTGCCTATAACAGGTAACAAAGAAATTGGCCGATATGATGCAGCTTCAACGAGGCTTATCTGGTTTCAAGAGAACGAAAATCTCTGCCATTTTCCACTGGGATGGTATATATTTGAAACATATGACGGCATTGAATAAAACAGTCAGCTTCATTATTGCATTATTAGGCAAGTTTTTTAGAATGAGACCGGAGATCTTATCAAAACCGGGTGCTTTCTTTGCTACAATCTTCCCTTTTATTTCTTTCGAGATCTCTGAGGGAGAGATAGATTTGATTTTTATTGGTGGAATTTTTTTAACCTTTCGGGGTTTCAATGTGGACATCTCCCTCTGCTCCGACTCTAAGTTGGAGCTACAGGTAGAAATTCTGAGTCTGCTAGTGTTTCCAAATCCCTGTGAGGTTGGATAGCTGTTTTGAAGTGATCTGCAAGGATTTCCGCTTTTTCTGCGTCAGTATTTGCCCAAGTTTTATCAGGCTCGCTGATCGGAAATTTTAGTTGCTTTGGTTTTTTATGGTATTTAGTGGCTGCCCATAATCAGTAATTTTTATCGGCAGTTGGAGATAGCGAATTAATAAATTTTTCACAATTAAAGTTGAGAAATTCTTTCATTCTTTTTTTAACTATTGCATTTAATCTATCGTTGTTTGAGTTATCTTCTGGAAATTATTTGTTGAGGTTCTTTTTGCTTTCCGTTTAAGACGGATGAGCTTGAGGAGATTTTTTGGAATTGCATAGGGCTTGATATTGTTTGATGCAACTGGTGTATTAGCTGAGGCGTATGATCTAATGTTTTCCACCAGCAGCTCCGTCTCTCTGTCAATATCTGCTGGAGAGAGGACTGGAACGCTATTATCAATAATTTTCTCAAGATCCTGTCTAAATTTTTCCCAGTTAGTTCTTTTTGAGCGAAGTGCAGGAGAGCGATTTTCGAGAATTGGGTTGGTAAAAATTTCTAAAATTATTTTTGTGTGCCCTTTTTTATTTGACATTAAAGTGTCGCAAGATGTATGATTGATCAGGTTGATATTCTTATGCACAAAAAATCGATCAAGTCAGGTTTATGACCTGGCACAGATGGAAAGTTCGTTGGTTTACCTCGTGAAATAAAATTACCACCTGACAAATTTACAGCCTCTAAGAGGGGCTCATCCTTGAGCCCCATCTGGGGTTTTTAGCGTTCCAATCCCCACCAACCAAATACTTCGGACCCAGTTCAGGAAACCAGTGTAATAATCTGTTGTGATTTCATTACGGGGTGGAGTGTAAAGAGAAGCTATGTTAAAAGTGTCTATTTCAGTTTGAATATTTACGACAACAACCTGAAATGCATTTGGTTCTACAATTTAATCAACAAAGTACCTTTTATAGTCGGTCCTGGTGAACCAGATCTCCAAAAGAAGGGCTATGTTCACATTGAAATCCCTCTGCGTGACATTGAATTCCTTGGCCTTCACCCTGGTAACGCCGCCACAGTTTCACGCCAAGAATGTTAATGATTTGCCATTAACTCGAGCTGGAACTATTGCTAGATCATCGAAATCAATGACAAGCTCGATCTCCTGTGAAGGTATTAAAGAGTTGTCAAATGAATCATTGTTACACAGTTTAGAAGAATGAAATTATTTATCTTTTCCGGTTAGCTTCAAGTTTACTCACTTTCTCGGTGAGAACTCTGAGCTGAGCATTCTTTCTATTGTTTGTAATAAAACACCGATCAGAGCGACGGAACTGTCTCCTGTGCCCTGTGTTGTAGGGTTAGCTGTATTGCCTGATAATGCTTGAGCAAAAGTCCTATCTACTTTCTTTGGAGGAGCATGAGTTGTTATATTTTTCCCAAGTTCCGGAAAACTTTTTTGATCAGGGGAATTTTTCTTAGCTTAGAGCTGCTTTTTTCGGGCAACTCGAAATTCTTTTCCAAAGGGACATCCGCGATAACTCGTAGGATGACCGATTGCTCCACAATTTTCGCATTTTGGATTAAAGATCCGATCTTTAAAAGGACACTCAGGAGATGAATGTTTGCCTGCGCATTTGACATACCGTGGATTTTTTCTACAAAAGTTGGCAGTATGCGAAAAACACTGGCATCTTTTGCTCTGTGGAACTATCTTATTATCTATCTTCATTGGCTCTATTTGAACAATAGTATGAGCAATTGCTTTGATCTCATAGATGTTTTTTATTGATTCTGAATGGTCAAAATCAAGTTGATGAAGTGGTATTTGTATAAGTTCGAATTCCTTGTTAGGTTTAGCATTTGTGGTTTGAATTTCAGATGTTGTTACCGAAGGGGTAGTTTGAAGGAGGGTAGCAGATTGAGGATCAGCTGGCGGATCCATTGGCATAATGGGCCTGTTGCAAACTTTTGCTAGAGCAGAATGAAGGGCTGTTTCCTATAGATAATGCCTCAAAAATCACGATGAGCACATCGGCAAAGTCTGAAATGCACTCATAACTTCACAATCTGCGTAAGAAATTTGCGTTATTTTGAGCTTCCCGCTTCAAAAACGATACTACTGCACAGGTGAACATTTTGTTAGAGGAGTCGCTCCATCGTCGGCAATATTCATCATGGGCGACGCTTGCGCAGTTCCTCGCGTAATTCGAGGAGAGTTCAAGGTCAATTAAGGCGGGCGAGGAAAATATGAACGTAAACACGCCGATTGTTATATGGTTTAATCCTGTTCAAGTGTTATCTCGTCCCATCACACGTGTTTTGGCGGACTGGCG